TATACACAAACTCGCGACACGTGGAATTATATCCAAACATTCCATATAAATAATTTTCAAAAGTAATTATTGAGTTGTGTATATTTGAACTAATTGTTGCGGCTGGCTGTAGTAGTAGTTGATAAAAACACAAATTACAATCATCTCCTCCCATACCTTAACCCATTTGGTCAAACCACTTGATGCAAAATTAGGTTTAGTATGTAATCATAGTTATGTTGAATGTAATTAATCCACCACACAAATACAAGATTCAATTAATTGTTTGAATATATTGCCATTAATATAATGTAAACACACTAGGGTTCTTGGTTAAAAATATAGTTAGTTATAACTCATCAAATCCATTATTGGGTGGGAAATTAACTATATAATAAACATTTGATTGTGATTTTTTTTCCTTCATGTTTATCTGTTTAATAATAATAACCAGTACACGTGTCGATCTCTTAACACATGAACCTGGTCAACATAAATATTATATTATTTTTTTGTAATGAAGGATTAATATTATGGTTTGATGTAATAGAGCTAAGTTTCAAAGAAACATGCATTATTAGCGTAGAAGAATTGAGTACCACGTGGGTAACCATGAGTTTACTTTAACAACGTGATCCGATAAATATCGTTTCAGTTTAAGTAATACCATTTTAATTTCAAATGTGTTTTTCATTATCTCCAAGGCTAAATTTGGCAAAACTCAAAACATAAAATTCATAGTTTAGTAAGTTGGTTTTCTGATCTAACTTGAATCATCAAGATTCGAGGTCGGCTGAGAAATATATGCACGTACGAACCAACGAACACTGCAACAATGTATTTCTAAAATTCGAAATGTAACTCAATTGATGCATAACTTTGTCACTCGACATCCTATCCAGCTGATGCAAGTTCCTTTAGTAAGCTGCTTCAAACGACTACGGTTTTTACCTTTTGAATTTTGCTAAAATCAGACTAGAAAATGGTCGAAATCACGTTCGAAGCCAAAACAGTATCAGTAAAATCGAAACGACATTTAACATTTCAGTTGTACATGCACAATTATATATATTTTTTTCAATTCTAAAAAGCATATACTATAACATAATAAATAAATTTCACCAAAAGTAAAATGCAAATTTTAAATTTATTTAAAACGAGACATAAGTTAGGGCCCAAATTATCAAATGGGCTTATTTATAAAAAGCCCATGGGCTTTAATACATCATTTACTGAGAACTGTACAAGCAGCAAATAATTGCCCAAACTGTTATTTTTAAATTTTAATTATTCTGAAGCAAAGAATGAAACAAGAGCTGGCGGAAGAAGAAGAAGATAGATTAGCATCACTGATCAAAAAATGTCCCAGCATGAGGGTTCTCGATCAAATCCACGCGCACATTCTCACTCGCCCACACCTCCCTCTCTCCACTCTTTCGTTCACCCTCTCCAAAATCCTCTGCTTCGCGGCCTACCGTAACATCCGCTACGCGAAAACTCTGCTCTCTCAAATCCCGCATCCGACCATATTTTCGTACAACACGGTGATGAGAGGGTTTCTACTGCAGAGCCCATCTCCAGAACCCATTTTCATGTTCAGGAAGTTGGTTAGGAAAAAGTTTCCGACATCAAACACCTTCACGCTGGCGTTTGTGCTGAAGTGCTGTTCGATTCTGCCGGCTTTTGAGGAAGGGAAGCAGGTTCACAAACACGTGATTGCATCTGGGTTGGGTGAGAATTTGTTTGTTCAGACGTCGTTGCTCAACTTCTACACGAAATGCGAGGAAGTTGAGTTGGGCAGGAAGGTGTTCGATGAAATGACTGAGAAGAATGTGGTGGCGTGGAGTGCCATGATTGGTGGGTATGCAAGGGTTGGGATGGTGAATGAGGCTTTGGAGTTGTTTAGGGAGATGCAAAAAGGTGGAGTGGAGCCTGATGAGGTGACTATGGTGAGTGTGATTTCTGCTTGTGCTATGAGTGGGGCATTGGATTTGGGGAAGTGGCTTCACATGTTTATTGATAAGAAAGGGATAAAAAATGATCTTGAAGTTAGCACGGCTCTCGTTAATATGTATGCCAAGTGTGGGTGCATTGAGAAGGCATACGAAGTTTTTCAGTCAATGCCGATTAAGGATGCCAAGGCTTGGAGCTCCATGGTTGTAGGATTTGCTATACATGGACTTGCAAAAGAGGCATTGCATACTTTTGCAAAAATGGAAAAAGCTAAGGTAATCGGAACCTGAAAAAACTACCCCTTCCTCGTTTTCTTCCAGAATAGTTCTAATACAAACTTTTCGAATTTTCATTTCAGGTCGAACCTAACCATGTGACACTTCTTGGCGTATTATTAGCTTGCGCGCATGGTGGCCTAGTTGCTGAAGGGAAAAAGTATTGGTCAAGCATGATTGAATGTGGGATGGAGCCGTCGATGGAGCATTATGGCTGCTTAGTTGATCTATTTTGCCGTGCAAATCAAATTGACGAGGCTTATGAATTCGTTAAGACAATGCCGATTTCTCCAAATCCGGTAATATGGCGTACTTTGCTTGTGGGTTGCAAGAAAAACAACTTGTTAGAGAAAGGTGAAATTGTGGCAGAGCAGCTTCTTGAATTAGAGCCACTCAATGCAGAGAATTACGTACTAATCTCGAGCTTGTATGCATCGAGATCGGATTGGGTGAAAATGAGTGCTGTGAGAAGGCAAATGAACGAGAGAGGAATCAAGGTTATACCAGGCTGCAGCTCCATTGAAATCAATGGTCATGTGCATGAGTTTGTTATGGGTAATTGGTCTCATTCTGAAGCTGAGGGCATAAAAGGAATTATAAGCGAAGTTTCGGAGAGAGTTGAAGGCGTTGGGCATGAAAGTTTGATCGGATCTGTGTTGCATAATGTGGGAGACGGAGAGAAACAAGATGCTCTTTGGGAGCACAGTGAAAGATTGGCTATTGCATATGGTTTGTTGAAGACAAAGTCGCCAGTTGTAATTAGAGTAGTGAAAAACCTTAGGGTTTGTTTGGACTGTCACGAGGTGACCAAGACTATAAGTAAATTGTACGATCGAGAAATCATTGTTAGGGACCGGATTCGGTTCCACAAGTTTGTGAATGGTGTCTGCTCTTGCCAAGACTTTTGGTGAAGTTTTAGTGATGGAAGCAACGTTGGTATAGTTATAAACACTATTAGATTGTTGATGGTGAATACTGTACTTACCTCGAATATCAAGTTCCAGTTGATTCTTAGAGAGATTATAATTTAGAGGAGAGGCGAAAAATCACGAGACAAGAAAATAGTTTGTGCGATAACAGAATTTTAGCAAATGACCACGAATTTTTACCCCGAGAAAGGGGGAAAAAATGCTACTAGGATTTTCGTCTATATTCTTACTTAAACTTGGATTTCAACCGAGCATCTATATATTTTCTCGTCTGTAACTGAGATGGTCAGAGTCCCTAATCCAGTGGCAGCTTCATAGTTGAACTCAGTCTCGATTTTGTCCACAGTGCATATAATTGGCTTTTGAGAAGAGTAGAACCCGAACCGCCCACATCCCCTAACCTCGAGTTTGATTGTCACCACAGGCAAACGTTTTCCAGTTAAAGGTTCGGAACCACCATTGGTTTTCTCGACTTCAAACTGCTCCACAGCGCCAGTAGAGTTGAACATGTCGAGCAAACCAATAGGTGCAAAGGAAATCTCTTCTGCAACAACCTGTGTTCGGACAAGAGATCATCATTCATCAGTTAAGCAAGTGTCTTTAGCAAACTTTAAGGAGGTGAAAAAAGAAAGGGTTATTCATTGAATGCTTCACCTTCACAGGGCAGAAGTGGAAGAGTTCGTATTCAAGAACCTGAAGCGTCACAGGCAATGAAGCCCCTTCTGGCAGACGAACTAATTCCCTTGATCTATGGGCATAAACTACAGTATCTCCTTTCCAATTTTGTCCAGCAATTTGAGCTATGGTATCAACGTCACTGGCTTGAACAGAGGTTGTAAGAGTACTAGGATAAGCATCGTGGATCCGTGTTGTCTTGGTCACTTTGCACCACCCTGCACCCTGACAGTTGAAAACTCCGACAACCCCAGAAAACTTGTTCGTGTTCCAAATCTTAAGCAAGCTGCACACAAAAAAAATATGGAAGTGGATTTTATTGCATTGGTTCAAAGGGTAAAAAGGCAATAGATGAAGATGACGATGATGATCACAAAACCTAGTTCCATCTCTGGCTGGATCGACAAAAAGACGGTCCAATGTGGGCCGTCCAGGCAATTGGGCCCTGAGAATCGATCCATCGGGAAGAACCAACTTCTTCAGAAGCTCAAAGTTGTGGTTGCCAGGTTTGTCACTGATTACACATCAAGAAACATTCATGTAATAACATTTAACCAAAAGAGCATTTCCGAAATAAAAAGAAAAAGAAAACGAGAATCGAAGTGAAGATTTACCTGACATAAATCGCACATCCTCCTACAGCTCGAGCTGCAGCATGATACTCAGCAGCTGGGTGCAAACTCTACAAAATAACGCACTGTGAGTCAGCCATTGGAAGATGAGGTGGCGGATCAAGAATTTTATTTTCGTGGGTCCCACATGTACACAGAAAATTTTCTAGTGGGACCCACAATGCTAAATGAAAATACTACACTAGATTTTCATCAAGAAATCACTCACGTGGAACATATCCCAATCAGGCAGCATAAACTCTCCCAAGAAAACAGAGTTATATGCTACCGAAGAAACATGAATGGTGTGCGAAGCAGGATCACGAGGGTAGAAATCATCAGAAGCTCTGCCAACAGCTGTTTTCTCAGCACTATAGATCCCGTCAGTATTATGGCACATGCAAGCAATGCACCCATTATCCGGAAAGTTCCGGAAGACGGAAGCTTCCAGAGCCTGCGTGTAGCTACGGGTGAGAGAAACCCTACCGCCGTGGCCCGTACCAAGAGTCTCGATAATGGTCTGAACGTCAACTTTGACTCCGTCTATTCCACAAGAGGACAAATAGGAGTGAAGCTCGTTGTAAAAATCAAGAACCTTTTTCGGGTGGATTAGGCCTAGCCCGTGAACTGCCAGGCTGTCAATTACAATGTCGGGCTGGTTGCCTATAATGCCTGGTGACTGGACAGGGTATGCTAAGGAGGGTTCGTAGTGTTTTGTACCGGGGCCCGCTGGGTGGACCCCGCCCCAGTAACCTGCTAGTGCATGCCATACGTACACGTATCTGAAAGTGTAAAATGTTAATACAAATGATTGGCAAACAAAGACTAATGAATAAATATGTCCTTACTTGACATTGTGGTGCTGCTTGGCTCTTTTAACGACATGTTTCAGACCTGATGATTCTTGTTCGTGATCCGTTTTTTCGTTTTTTTGGAATTTTTCGTTTTCTTTTATACCTGTTAGCCTGTTTGCAAACCTGCAAGAAATTGGAGATACACATTACAATCAACATATATTGCCAAAAAAATGAAGAAAAGGAAATTGGATTATCTTACTGAGCTTCTTGATGTATAACAAAATTTGAGTCTTCCTTGACTTCGCTCCCGATTTGTTGCCAGCCATCGTCTATGATCAGAAACCGTGGAGGGGTACCTCCCTCAGACAAGCTTCAAAAACGATTTTTTTTTCGGTTTTTAGAAACTTAGGGGTTCGAAGATTTAGAAAGAAAAAAAAAAACCCGAAATTTACCTCTGGAGTCCCTGTTCAATGCCCTCGGCTGTGACATCAGTGTAGAAAGCATCCCATGTGCACCATCCGAACCAGTCCACAAATGACGGCAGCTACATAGTTCAATATATACACATAATAAAGCATAAGCCAGAATATTTTGCAATTCCGAAAAACGTAATAAACCAAACATATTGTAGTCACCTTCTTTTTCTCTCTGTGCTGAAATGTTTGCAAATGTTTTTCAACAGCTCTGTTTCAAACAATCAGTTTTCCGAACATCAGCAAACGAACCGAAGTTCACTACAGTTACATCACCAAAGTAAAAAAAAAAAAGTACTTACTTGACAGCCTGATTAATCACTTCAAAAGGATTGGTTCCAGCATGCATGTAAACCAGGTAATTTCCTTGATTAGTTTCAACACAATTGTCTCCTGTAAGTAATAACCAAGAAGATTAATTTTTCGTACTCGTAACTTTTTTATCCCGATTATAACCCTACTAATTAAACAAACCCCCATGAATAGGGTAAACCAATTACCACTCTCAAGGCAGATCTCGAGCTCGTTTCTCTCGTTGCCTTGAAGAACAGCCCGAAACTGCCCCTCGAGAAGTGGGAGAAAAACCGTGTAGATAGTCGAGCTATCTACACTTGCGTTTTTAGTCTCCACGAGCATGAATTGTGTCTCCAAAGGAATATCCTTCCCACAAGTTCCCATTCTTTGAGTCATCCACCATAGCTTAAATCGGAATAAGCACATAAACCGAACACCCCTTTCCGAAAAAACAAGGAAAAATCATTCAAGAAATGATTGATTGACGAATAAAATGTCGTCGGAAACAAAACGATATGATTCTAGAAGGTTCTAGAGGGCGAGCTTACTCAAGTGCGCCGACGGGGAAGACATGGAGGCTTTTGCTATGCGATGACGTGGCACCGATGAATGCGCCTTCGACAAGGCCTACGCCAGAGCCCGGTGTGAGCACGATATTTTCGGGTACTTTTGTTAGGACAGTTTTTCCATGGATGACTAGGTTTCCATCATTGACACAGATCTTAGGTGTCACTGTCATGTTTGAACGCTGTTGTAGAGAGAGAAACAGAGTACTAATCTTAAAACTGCATGAAAAAATGCTCACATACAATTGCAACAGAATTAATAACAATTTCGAAATCCAAAAAAGAAAGTACATATATGATATATGATATATATATATATATATATATATATATATATATATATATATATATATATATATATATATATATATATAGTGGAGTAAGAATATATGTATATTTAATATTTATATATGGAGGGGGGTATTTCATTTGATTAATTGACATATTTCTAATTGAGTAAATATAACACAGAATAATGTATTAATGCAATCATCGTCTTAATATAATAATGTATTAATAAAAAAATTATAAATTAATTCAGTATAATTTTTTGAACGTGTAATAGAAATACGCAATTTCAAATTATTAGTAACAAAAAATATTGATATTTATTAAACAGTACAATGTAAAAAAAAGTTTTAAATTTTTTTTTGAATGAATATTCGAATATTCCAAAATATTGAAAATTTAAAAAAAATGTATTCCTTTATTTTAATATTTTAATATTAAAAAAAACATTTTTTTCTGAAAATTATTTGAATATTCGTAAAAAAATTAAGTATCATGAATTTTTTCAATAAATATATTTTGAAATACTGGAAATGTAAAAAAAAAAAAAAAAAAAAAAAAAAA